ACTGCAAAAGTAAATTCTGAATAGACTAATTTTATCTTGAATGTTACTGACATTGTGCAATTACATTAACACTATTTAATAGTGACTTATACCAATGCCATCGAATGTTTCTTCTTTCTTCGTATAATGTACATATAGGCTGTATACAACTAGCGAACTAATGTATTTTTACTATCCGATGACGTAATTTTACATTCGTTTTGTTGTTTTTTCCATCTGTATCGATATAGGTGGAAAACAACAAAAAGAAATATTCGATGTTATTGGTATAAGTTACTATTAAATAGTTTTAATGTAATTGCACAATGTCAGTAACATTCAAGATAAAATTCTGTTATTTTCCGTAGTCTTTCTTTACACATTGTTAATTACGTATTTTATCGCTGCTGTTAAAATATAAATCTTTTAAGTGACATCTGACTTTTATTTGTATGTTTAAAAATTGAAAATAGCTTATTCTGAATAAACATTGTCATTATCGCAAGATATTCAAAAAGAAAAGACAACATCATCTCGAAAATATCACTATGATATATATGAGTCCGATATTGACATTTAAGCTGCATGTTTGTTTCACCAGCTATTTTGTGGTTTCCTCTCTTTACATGAGCATCAAAACAATACTCACGGAATGACTGCCAATTATGTCGCTAATTGTGAAATATTTAGATATTTTTTTTTCAACAGAAAACCTATATTTCATTATTGAAGTTTAATGCCGAAATATGAGGAATGACTATAGAATGCTCTCTGTTGGCTTTAGATGAAAAAAAAAGAGTTTGGCTTTATATATGTGACATAGATAGTGAGAAACAAAGAAAAAATGTGATAGAAGGAGATATAAATAAAATTCAGAGCTAGCCATGGACGAACCTGGGTAAAAGAAATAAAAATTGGATTGATATGTTTGAATGTTACTGCTATCAACGAACGACTGATAATAGAGAAGAACTCAGAACGACAAAAGATGAAAGAGAACATGAAACTTAAGAAATGTGAAGATCTTCGTTGTAAAAGAAAATAACAGTCGCAGCTACGTAAATACAAACAACACTGAAGAAAAGGTGCTATACCCGAGTCTTCTGTTGGAAATATTGGAAGACTCAAAAATGGTTTCATGAAATCTAAGACATCTTCAAAGCGATTGTCAACGGTGGAAAAATCTCTTTTTAAAAGGCTATTCAGATCGCTTACAGAACCTAGAAAAGCTACCCGTCGAAAAGTAGAATTTGTGAAGAAATTGTGAAATCCTCTGTGGATACTATCTAAATTTTACAGAATTCTGTATGAGAGGTACAATACTAGTTTGATAGTATTGAGCCTATATTTGTTTGGCGCCAAATTCTTTGAGACAGACTGTATAAAACTTTTTGACATTATATTGAAAATTCATAATTTAGAGTTTATGATTTATATACTCTTGACTTCTCGAACGGCCATATTCATAAGTTTTTTTTTCTATTTGTCTAGTAGAGTACTAGGAGTTCAAAAGATAATTCATCAAAATTCGTGACCTACTTATCTTTAGTCTTTAGTTTTGGTAGAAAGCTTTTTTTTCTAGTTTGTAACACTCAATAACATTAATCATCAATTTTTAAGTAAAATTCACAGACAAATGATCATGCTTGAGAAATTTGTTCTCTTCAAGGATTAGCTAATGATTTTTCGACGAATACAACTTGAAAGACTTGTAGAATACTTTTTCAATAAGACTCATTGAGAGTTTGACCTTTGATGTATTGTTGTATCATAAATTATGGATTATAAAACTTCTGAGTGTAGGCATATGGTTCATTGACCGTGTCAAATGATCCGTTAACACCACCAGCAATGACTTATAGAATAGACATTTGAGATGAATTCGTGAGCATTTCACCGCATCAAGTTAAATGATTTGCCACAGCGCCTGGTGGATACTTGTTTGTCGGAATCTCACTAACGGTATATGTTCATTGAAAATAGAAAAGTATATCTGAAATTCAATTGACTTGCATAATATACCTATTGACATATGGGCTTAACTTATTTCCTAAGTAACCACAAGGAAATACCTATACACGAACACTTCTCACAGAATCAGTTGTATTTATAATACAAACAGAAACATTTGAATATGTTTCATCTGACGCTATTTCTCTATCTATCAAACCTTTGACTTGATTGATATTCTTTCCTGCAAGCGTCATAGATGGTCGCATATTAAAGTCAGTGAACGGTTGAGTACAATTGGACTTGTAGTAGAGTAAGTTAGTAGCAAAATAATAGGTTTCTGTTTTACTAGGACCTACTTGAAATCCAAACGTGAAAGAGGAAGTGATTGAGTGTCATTCAACATCGTAAGGTATTTTGCAAGCAATGGCAAGAGCCTGAACAATAGCTGATGTTTATTGATTAACTTTAGTTTTTGAATGACATAAATTGATAAGCATTCAATCTAGTTAATACAGAAAAGATAAGATAATTTAAACCTCTTTGCGTATGATCAACTTCTCTCACTTTACGATTAGCTTTCATATGTGTTACAAAGAATTCTTATAATACTTTGGACCATCAAGAAGTGAGAAAGAGATGGAATGAAGGAAGGTTGGAGCGTCTAAGTCACTTTGATACCCTTGAAATATGCATCCATATGTGTGCATAACGTTCTGTGTACGCTCGCTCAATTCTTCTTTTCAAGAGGGTGTGGGTGTGGGTGTGGGTGTGGGGTGTAGATGTAGGTATGGTTGGCAAGGTACTATCGTCCCATACCCCTAGCCATACCCACACCCGCACCCACATTCTACAATAAGTTGATTTCTAGGACAATTTTTTTTTTAATATTCAAGAATCACATTTATACTTTTTGTATTCTCTATCTTTGATAATGAACAGATAATTTTATTAACTTGGATGATTAATGTAGATAAAGATTGGAGATATTCATTAGTAAGATATATACAATCATCAAAGCTATTGACTTTTGTACTCAACTTAGTGGAAGTTCAAGAGAGAGCGAATTTATGTATAGAACATTTAAAGACAAAATTGTTAAATATTTTCTCGAGGTCTGTTGAAGAAAGTCAAATCACTTAAATATCTACCGAATCATTGCATCCATACAAACATATTCGTTTCATTTCCATTAGATATTTCTACTTTCTAAAGAAAAATATCGATAGCAAGATGCGTGCTTTGATTACTAACAAGATGAAATTTGATGTCAACTTAAATGTAAATGAAAGTGTCAATCATTGATGAAGTCAAATAAAATTCATGATCATACCTGAGACGTATGATAAGAATAATTTTGACTGAAAAAAAGGAAATTATAGTAGTATCATCGAAGATTAAGCTATACTTTGACATTAATCGGTGACCTGCTATTCTTCTCAAAGCTGCGAAAAGATGTGGGATGTGATCATATAGACAAAAAAGTAGTACAACGGTTGCAGATACTTATATTATTATTTTTGGATTTTTGCTCTAAGAAAATTCATTTCCTATTTTTTGCGTGTGTTTTTCCTTGTGTTATGAGTAAATATTGTCACTGTTGTGTGGAAAATTTCAAGTCAAAATTTTGCGTGTCATATATTACCAATTACAACTTTTACCAAACTCTTCTTGTGCAGTTGCAACTCACATTTGATTTGTTTTTATTTGCAAATTTATTTTTTTCTCTGTTCTGCATGTGACTGTTGTAAATATTAAAATACTGTGACTAACCTTCTAAAACAGAGACATTATTGTTCTTCCTTGCTTGCTTTTTTCTTCAACACTACTTTTTAAAGTCAAAAACAAATGAGAATCAACTGCAAACTAAACACGAATCACAAACTTGTAAAGATAAGTGACAAAAATAAGAATCTCACTGTTTTTTTTCAGCCAACATAAGCAAAAAAAATGCAAATTTTTCCAATATTTTTCTCGAAACAATTTATTATTTAAAAATTTCTCTAGTCACATAGTATTATCATAATTAATGATCTTGAAAGGTATAAACAAAAAAAAATTTTAATACTGAGAATGTCGTTAATGTGAAAACAAAAGAAGTTCAGGGCAAAAATTTTATCCTTCGTTGAAACTTATGACCATAAATAAAGGATAGTTAAAGTTGAAAGATTATAGTGCCAGTAGTGGAACCAGCTTTTAGCTTTCTTACGAACTTTTCAATTTCCAGGCAAATAAAATCCATCTTTAAAAAATTCCATCCGAGGAGCTCAAAGGTTCGCAGAAGGCTGAGACAACTTGGCATCACCATCACATAGTATACTGAGTAAAGTTACAATTATCTATACCAAATTTATCTTTTCTACGTAAATTAAAAACCAAATTCTGCTTTGTTTACTTGATAGGAAATTAATTAGTGGATTTTTTTCTACGAAATGTGCATTTTTTTGTGTCAAATATACATCGGTTGAACTAATCTTTGAAAAATAATATTTCACACAGATTTCGGATAATCTTAGACGAAGAAAAAAAGTCCCTGTAAAACATTGAAATGCCCAGCTTGACTATTTTTATTTAAAACCAAATACTGCTCTAAATTGCAATTGATTTAAATTGCACAAATAGTTAAATAAATTTTTTTATTTTAACCTCTATAGAAAAAAAATAGAAACGAGTAAGAAACCTGTGTTTTTCTTTGTTTGCCATAGAGCTTTTATTAATGTTTAATGCTAATATTAACGGTCTTTTTTCGTTGAAAGTTAATCGTCTCTTTTAATTGTTTACAGTAGAAATATTAAATATTGAATCTCGAAGAGAATGATGAAAATATCGAAAACAGATGTTAATCTCTATCGCAATCGGATCAGTTGTTAGCATCTTATAAAGTAATGCATATGTAACCAAAAACAAGAATAAATTAATTTATAGAAATAAAAACTTAAGACTGCGTAAGAATCTAAAACAGCACATCTTCATAGAGCTCTTCCTAAACGTAAATCATAATACCTGAAAATTTCTTCTATAATTGATTGAATTTTATTCTTTTTTTAGATTAGATTGAAATTGTATTTAGAATGAGTGGTCCTGTTTCTTTATCACAAAGATTTCGAAATACTGGAGCGGCTATGATAAAATATGCTAACAACGCTCTAACATTGGATGAAGATTCCATAAGACGTTTAGCTGTCAATCACTCCGGTGTTCTTGGCTCTTTCTATGATGTAAGAACAGATCAAATACTTAAAACATTACCATTGGGGAAAACTCCCACAACAAAAATAATACCCGTGGAAGTAGTCCGATGTACCGTAATGAACAGTGATACATTTGATTGTCAAAAGTTATTTCATGATATTGGTATTCATGATGAACTATGGCTGAATGTTATCTTAAATATTGTACCAGGAGAAGGTATGCTTTCATTAGTTAATTATTCATTTCCGAGCAATCAAAACATTCGATTTTTTTACTATTATTATTCTGGTCAACATGAATCAATTAAATTTGCTCCAAAGGTAGTTAGACAATATATTCCGAGAGAGATACCTAAAATCAATGCAACTCACATTATTTCAGGAATCAAATCAGGTATTCAAGTGCTTGCCGTATTAGAACTATCTTCTAATAATGAAACTTCTCTTGATATATTATTCCAAGAAATATGTAAACGATTAACAACTGACAAGTTTGAATTAAAAACAGCAGAGAAAATTTCCCTGAGTCGAATCAAGATTATCGAAATCTTCTCTAATACACCTGAACTAACCCAAATACACCAATTACCTGTACTATTGGACTCAATAACTATAAAAATGCCACATGCTTACCGTTACCATCCGTTGGAATATAGTCTTCGTGATATCAAATGGTTTTATCCTAATCACTCTGCCCAGGAAGATAAATTTATTCTGCTTGAATCCTCATTTCATAGAAGTGTCAAACAATATTTGCTTCAGTTATCAACTCAAAAACCAGAGTTAGTTATTCCGATCGAACAAGAAGCGAGAAATGCAATGGAAGAATATTCTCAAGCACAACTTGATATAGTCCAAAACAAAATCAAAAAGGCACTAACAACATATCCACGAGAAACCACACGCATTTGTGATTTGATTATTAAAGTTCGAAAGGGAATACTTTCGTATGAGCAAGCCACCATAACTCTCACTAAAAAATTCAACATATTATTACCAAATGAAATTAACATTCCTACAAAACATTCTCAGGTATCTTCGAATAATGAAAACTTCATAAGCGATTTCCAACAGAAAAACAATAAAGATTCAAATATTACAAATGAACAGCCTACGAGTATAAACGAAAAAATCACACCACCGAAACCACTAGTATTGCCAAATAAAAATATTCAAACGGACCATTCTCAAGTACCTGCAAATAATAAAAATAGCGTAAACAATTCCCAACAAAAAAATACCGAAGATTCAAATCCTTCAAGTGAACAGCCTAAGAGCACAAAAAAAACACATACATCATGGCAACCACCAGTATCGTCAAATGAAAACATGTCAGCAAACGATTCTCAAGCATCTACAAATAATAAAAAACGCACAAACGATTTGCAACAAAAAAATACTAAGAATTCAAATATTCCAAATAAACAATCTAATAACATTGATGAAACAGTCACACCAATGAAATCTCCAATATCAGTAAATGAAATACATATTTTTGTACTAAGTGAAAAATTAGCACATGATCAAAAACCAAATAGTCTATCAAATATGCCATCAATATCAATTTCAGAACTCGTACAATCATCAAAAAACCAGTCAAATGACAATGAAAGATTATTGGGTTCACCAAGTTTGAAAAATTCTTCATCGTCGAATAATCAATTCCCATTAAATGAATACTTCAACGGTGAACAAATGCAAGATCACTTACCAGAATTACAGACTCAATCAACTTCTGACTTAACACCATCAACTAAACAACAGGTTGATACGTTACCATCTCTGCCAACTACTAATTATATCAATGTTCTTCTGCTCGGTGAATCTGGTGTAGGTAAATCAACATTCATCAATGCTTTTGTCAATTATCTTCAATTTGAAACGTTTGAAGCAGCTCGTTCAAGTGACCCTGTAATACTTATGCCTGTCTCATTTCTTTTGACAGTTGGTCACAGTTTTGAAGAGCAAATTGTTAAATTTGGTGATGCCGATTCCAATGAAGATTATGATCATCCGGGTCAATCAGTAACTCAACATTGTAAATCGTATGTTTTTAAAATTGATACTCACACTTACTTTAGAATAATTGATACACCAGGAATGGGTGATACTCGTGGTCTAGATCAAGATGATTACAATATGCAACATATTTTATCATTTATCAATAATCTCTCACATTTAAATGCAATTTGTATACTTCTTAAGCCGAATGAATCAAAATTAAATATTGTTCTTCGATCATATTTCACTCATTTACTTAATTTTCTTAGTGAAAATGCTCGTCATAATATTATCTTTTGTTTTACGAATACTCGATCAACTTTCTTTGCTCCAGGTGATACTGCTCCATTAATCAAAAAAATGATTAATAATTTACCAACTAAAGATATTCCATTTAATAAATCGAATGTTTTTTGTTTCGATAATGAAGCATTTCGTTATTTAATTGCTCTTCAAAATAAAATCGAATTCGATACATATGAAGAAGAAGAATATCAAACAAGTTGGAAAGTGTCAGTAACTGAATCAAATCGACTTTTTCAATATATTTCTGAAACGTTAGACCCTTATGATCATAGTCAATGGCAATCAATTGAACATTTACAAATTAAAATCAGTCAAAGAATCTTTCCGATATTAGAAACAATGCGAAATATGCTTCGAAATATTATATTGAAAAAAGAAAAGCATTCAAAGACACAAATAAAGCTTAATCTTGTTATTATCCCACAATCTTCAAGTATTTCTTATGAGACCAAACGTACTTCAAAGCAACACAGCAATATTTGGAGTCTACCTGATGATTTGTATTTAGTTTATGACGAATATGATGAATATGATTGTATTCTTAAGAAACATATTGACGACAACTATATACTTAAATATGAAATTACCTATGAAGAAGATGAACAATCTGATATCGAAATGAAGTCCAATTACAATCAACTTAAAGAAGTTGTTTTTGAGTTTGCTCACTTTTATGTTTATGTTTCGAATACATCAAAACTCAAAGATCCTTTCTTGAATGCACTCAAACAAATAATTGATGAGGAAAGTCAAATTTGTTCAGCAAAAGGTTCTCAATGTCTGAACTCACAAATACGAAATATATTGATTGAATTAAGAAAAAAATATGAAGAAAAGCAAAATGCATTCAAATTGAAATGTCCAAATATCGATTTACAGAAGATCTATAAACTAATCGAAACTATTAGCACGATTGATGATATGAAAAAACAATTGGATATTATTGAACAAGGCCAAGAAAATTATCTGAAGCAGCATGAAAAGGAAATTTCCTACAGGTTTGAATAAATTACAATGGATAATTCAAATAAAAATCTTCATTTAATTTTGGTTTTGAAGAATGTGATTGCTTAATTATGATCTGAATGAATCCAAACATTCCTTTTTCATAAGTATTTATGAACTTTATTTTTATCCTTTATTAATTTATATAATTATTTGTTTTTTTGTATATACTTGAATGAAAATAAAATCGAGATCATAAGTTCTTCTTGTCTGTTTATTGCTACATACTCTCCAAATCAAAGGAGTCTATGACGAAATTGATTTTAATGACAACTCGTCGGAAGATTTATTTACAGATATTGAGAAATTTTAATTTCTCTATAGACGTCCCAAGCTTCGATCCTTCTGTAAATGCAATGCGGGTATGGGTGTGGGTATAGGTGGGTGTGAGTGTGAGTGTGTGAGTGTACTCGTGGGTGTGGGTGTAGATGCGGTCGTAGGTCCTATTTTCCTAGACTTCCACACCCACACCTTACTCTTGTTGTTGAGATTATCAAGATAAATTATTACCAATTTTAAAGATCTGTGCAATGAACTGCGATACGAAATATTCGAATATCTGGATATGTATGATATATATGAAGCTTTTTTTCAATCTGAATATACGACTTCGTAATCTTATTGCCAATTCAAGATTTCCAATTAACATCAATATCTCATTCATGTCAAAATCGGGTTTTGAACGTTACAATACAGATATTTTTATAACCCATGTGCATCGAATTAATTCTTTTTGAGTATCAAATCCTATTATTTATGATTTAATCTTTTTTTCGACTCATATACTAACAAAATTTTTCCGATTTGAAAGACTTGTTCTTGATCAAATTGAATCTAAATATATGGAAGAACTTCTTCTTCAAATAGTTTCTCTATCATTTGTATCTTCATTGATTATCCTTTCTGTCGGTCCCTTTTACAGGAATCAAGGCCCTGTATCGTCAAATATTTAGTCTACATGCATTAAAATATTGCCAATTATCACTGAGCGAAGGATTCAGAAAGGAGCCATTGCCAATCTTCGCCAACGACTACAGTTCAATCGAACACCTCGGTATCAACAATATTATACACATCAATCAACTTGCTAGTTTGTTATTGTATGTTTCTTAACTTCACTGTCTTGCCATTCATTCACCAGAGGAACTTTATAATAAACAGGCAAAAGTGTGTTCGCTTGTATGAAATCATTTGACACACATGTTTTTCTCTCTCACTGAATTACATCAATTGTCATGACTTTGAACAGCTCATCATAGATCTTTGTGCTACGATTTGCGCTTTGCATATTACGATAACATTTGGTGAAGATACAGCATACATGGATAACGTGTGGGTGTGTCGGTGTGAATGTCGATGTCGGCGTCTTTCTTTCGTACAAACCACAGCCGCAGCCACATCCCTATTCTTAAGAGGCATACTGGTAGTTTCGAAATAGCCGTATCGATCTTCGTAAGGACTATATGTAGGATGAATTAAAGCCACCTGGTGAGTCCTTTAGTATGGACGAAATCGCGATCGTGGCAGCTAAATTCTTCACTAACACCCTGGCACGTACACCCTTAAAGATATATTTGTGGTATAAATATGAGATCAAACGAGAATGGTAGAGAGAAATAATCGAAAAAAATAAGGTGTGTCGTTTATTTTGGCCAGAAAGATATGTATATCTCGTCATTGACACCGCTCCTTTTGAATATTGTGGTCTATTTTTTATGAATTCACACTCTTATTATTTTTTGAATTTTACGAAAAAAAGATGCAATTCACTGATATAATAACATCCAAAAAAATCTTATAAGTAGATAAGAAAAAAACGTAAAGTTCTGCCATATTTGAAAATGTCTTTTTATATATCACCATGTCCTTCATCATTTTTTGACATCGGTAACAAATGGTTTAAATTCCTGACATTCATTACGATGAACAGCAGCCATAAACTTCATAAATTCATCAAGTGATACAGTACCATCTTCATTTAAATCCATATATTTAAGAAGCATCTTATCCATATCAGTATCTTCAAATTGTACTTTCGCAAGTCTCACACATTCTTGTATTTCATCTAATGTAATTGAACCATTACGATTACGATCAAATTTCATAAATAAGCCGTACGCCTCTTGTGCTACCTTTGATGGTAAGCCATAGTGATTGATCGGATTGTACATTGCATTCGGTTCACTCATTTCTGCTGAAACTCTTTTTTTCTGTTTACACTAACAGCTACTGTTGCTTTACTACTTCACTAGTATCTGAAAAGAATGACTATCAAGTACTCTACTTTAAGAGAAGAACGAGGAAAGGTTGGTTGACAGATCGACCTATATACAACAATCATTTGGTTCATAACCTCTTCCATAGAATTTATGCTTCTCTCTTCAACAGTATACTACTCTTGACTCACAGAATAATTTTTGCAGACACTTTATAGTGTAGTGAATAAAAAAATCTATCAGCCTCCTCACAATAGATCTCTCCTAATAATAGCATCATGTGATTCCTGTGATAACAAGTCGATTTGATTTCGAAAGAGCCATTTTTTCAGGATCGATAGAGTTCACCAAGAGCTACAAAATGGTAAGAATAATATGTATGAAAAAAAATGCTGTCCTCGATATTTTCTAAAGACCAAATTGTTGAAAACATATAATAATTGCAAGCGTAGAACAATTGTGTGCATTTGATCTTAAGAGAGAAGGTTTCCAACTATCAAATCATTTTTTGATCGACTATATGCTCAAACGATAGACTTTAATGAGCTATCAAATTAGCCGACAAGAGTTTGATTTTCTAGATCTCTTGAGCTGGGATATACGATTATTACTATTACTAATGTCGGATTTTTTTTAAAGTACCAACGACTATTTTTTTGAATAACTTTATAACGGTTCTAGTTATAAAGCTCGGGTTTTCACCATTAGAAAAAGAAAGTCGGGGAACGTCGATCTCTATAAAATTCATTAGGTTTACGAGTCTTTTGTATGGTTTTTTGCAATCGAGTATCTTATCGGTTGTCTATTTTCATGAGTTTCCATGACAATTTAACATCTAATTGGACCAAAATGTAGGCTAAGCCGTTCTACATTTGTGCCAAAATGTTCACTTTTTAACATCAAGGCATAAGAAAAAGAAATCAAGGATAAAATAGTAAAATTTGAAAATTTTAACACAAATACAGAACGATTTAGGCTACATTTTGGTCCAATTAGATGGTAAATTGTCATGGAAACTCATGAAAATAGACAACCGATAAGATACTCGACTGCAAACAACCATACAAAAGACTCGTAAACCTAATGAATTTTATAGAGATCGACGTCCCTCGACTTGCTCTTTCTAATGGTGAAAACCCGAGCTTTATAATTAGAACCGTTATAAAGTTATTCAAAAGATAGTCGTTGGTACTTTTAAAAAAATCCGACATTAGTTTTGATGTAATAGTGGACTGATATATTCAATATCTTGACTAAACATGCTTCGATCCCACTCAAATTCATATCAGTACTAAGGAACTCACTACTGATGAAGATTTCAGAGTTTGAAGATAAATCATTGTTTCTTATCGAATATATAAATCTGTTTGACATACTGATAGATTATTAAAAAGCAGCATGTGTTCTTGCTGAAAGATGCAAGTATCGAGTTCATCTGATATTATCAACACACATTCATTTCATAGTGAGCATGCATGTAGAACTACCAGCTCATTTGTCGATACTTTTGGTAACAAAAATTGTAACGATGACATTGTTTAATTTTCATCATGTGATATAAGCTCAGTAACGTGTTAATAAATCAAAAAAGAGTCAACAAAAAACAAAGCAAATGGATTGAATCATTTAATCAGTGGAAGTGAGTGTTGTTGAGAAAATTTTCAATACATAATATATAGTCAAGATAACTACACCCAATCAACAAACATGAGGAGCAATCACATCGATAATATCTGTAATAGTAATAGAAATTATGCATCGCGATTAAATATATATATATATTTTTCCTTTTGGGCGATCATATACTCCCCTAGGCACTCCTTTTACTTTACATATCATTTACTTTTGAACTACGTCAGCATCCAATTACCTCTCATTGCCGATTTCGATCATCAACGATTCTATGCAACGAACGTATTCAAACAAAAAAAAGGATTATTTTGGCCAATGAAATACACATGCCAGATATCGACATCTTTCAGAAATGAAGTCTACTATATTAGTACTGTATGTTCTATAATGAAAAATACACAAATTCATTTCTCGAATTTTATTAACAAAAGTATCGACAAATGAGCTGGTAGTTCTACATGCATGCTCACTATAAAATGAATGTGTGTTGATAATATCAGATGAACTCGATACTTGCATCTTTCAGCAAGAACACATGCTGCTTTTTAATAATCTATCAGTATGTCAAACAGATTTATATATTCGATAAGAAACAATGATTTATCTTCAAACTCTGAAATCTTCATCCGTACTGAGTTCCTTAGTACTGATATGAATTTGAGTGGGATCGAAGCATGTTTAGTCAAAATACCGAATATATCAGTTCACTATTAAAACAAAACTAGTAATAGTAATAATCATATATTCCGGCTCAAGAGGTCTAGAAAACCAAACTCTTGTCGGCTAATTTGATAGCTCATTAAAGTCTATCGTTTGAGCATATAGTCGATCAAAAAGTGATTTGACACTTGGAGACCTTCCCTCATCAGCTCTATTCCATAGAACCAAATTAACTTTTTAAGCAAGAATACCACTCGAGTAGAGCTAGAAAAAGCCCACACAAGACACCAAAAGGCCGAGCCCGAGCATTTGGGGAATAGGAGTATGTATCATCGTATGGAATCCCTCATAACTGTTCTCGAAATGAGTTCTTTTGCCAACAGAATCGAAAAGGAATCAAACAGTTTCTCGGAGCAGGAATCCAGTCGCACTGCAATAGAAGTCCAAACGAATAATCATCTCCTGGCATATGATTATGATTGTATGATAAAGCATAGTCGCAAAGAGGCAAATCGAAATTTCGTCAGTAAAGAGTTCGTATCAACCTAAGAACAAACTCAGAGATATTTTATTAAAGTGTGTTTGGTTTCATTCAAAAATCTTCTGGGCAACTTTATACGTGAACCTATATTCGAGTTCATTTAAAGTCCAATATTTTTTTTCAACCAGAGGTTTGTAATGTTAAACCGTTTTCTTTATCTCAACAGTTTATACATGAATGCTTTTTTGAACTCTTTTTCGACTACCACTATTCATTTTCCGTTTTCTTAAGTTGCTTCTGTATCCACACTCCATATGAGTACTGGAACAATCTCTCCTTAGTTGACATAATCGAAACACAAGTGTCCTACCTATGCATTTATTATAGTATTTCAACAGTGTGTTCTTTAGAAAACATCGAGGACAGCATTTTTGCATACATATTGGTCTTACCATTTTGTAGCTCTCAATGAGTTCTATCTACCTTGAAAAAATGGTTCTTTCGCAATCAAGTTGACTTGTTAGCAGAGGAATCCCATGATGCTATTTTTAGGAGAAAACTAGTGTAAGAAGGCAGATGGATTCTCTTATTCACTATTAGAGCCCTGCAGGACCAAGAGCGGGACTTGGACCAAATTTCCAGAAAACTACTGAGCCAGGATCAAGACGGGACCAAAGGTGAATCCTGTTGTAGTCACAAAAATAAAAGATGATTGCTGCATGTATTATGATATCTGCAGTTCAGTATTGCTGATTAGTTTGTTTTTTAACTCATACATAGAAAACTCATGGGAAGGGATAGAATTGAATCTTTGTCAGTTCATCGTTAAGCTATCTGATTAATGTTAGGTTTTTAGCCTATTAGGTATCTAAGAGGCTTTTCCGAGTTCGATTCATCAAGTTATAGTGCAGCGTTTAATATCTAGGGTCTTAATAGTATCTATATCAGAGATTTCGTCTAAATTTGATGATAGAAAGATAATAATGAAATAAATTCATTAAACAATCCAAGTGATCAATAATTACTCTTCTTTTCATTGTAATATGTCACTGCAGAAAATAAGCATCATACCCTTTTGAGTTGTCATCTAGTACTTATGCACTCTAAATATATCTTACTATTTACAAAATACAGCGGCGATAAATTCACAGATCTTTTTCATAAAGTTAATACAAAAGTGATCCTTCGAAACCTGAGCTTTAGAACTCTAATAGGAAAGCCATAAAGAAATCTCTGACAGATGAAGAAAAAGTTGTCGGATGTAACTGTCATGTAATCTTTTTGTGTGCTGACTTGCAACGATTTTTCCATGAGTCGCTTGGCCCAAAGACTCAGGCAACTTTGATCCTGTTGAAAATCTTAGCCAGTCGGTCAGGTTTACATTGTTTCCGTGGGTTCTGCGTCTACATGATATGACAATTTGTATGCACATTCTTGATTAGAGATCTTGGTTCAGGATCATCAATCCCCCAGAATAATTAGTGTAACAAGGATGGGAGTACCTGGTTAGGAAAACATATCATGCACAGACCGTGAGAGTCTTCAGGACCAAAACGGTGGGACCTGGATAGAATTGGCACCCCGTGCTTATGATTCGGGATCGAGATAGGACCAAAAAATCGTGGTTCCACAGGACTCTATTCAATACACTATAAAGTGTCTGCGAACGTTTTCCTGTGAGTCGAGAGTAGCATACTGTTGAAAAAAGAAGTATAAATGCTTCGAAAGAAATTACTACTCAAATTATTTTCCATTAGGGTCATTTCGTCGACCAACCGTCTCCCGCCCATTACTGATTCTATTGAGATGGCGTCGTAATAGAGCCAACAAATGATGAACGTGATCGTTTGATTCGTCAATGTAAGCGTTGAGCTAAATAAGAACAAAATTTTGAAGAATACATCGTCCGGTCGGTATATTCTGAGACTAAACAATAGTAGAAGGCGTTTTAGATGCTTTTGTTACAGAAGCACTTTTAGAAGTGGCGGGCATCTTCTTGACGCTTTTTTCATCCATATGTACATGTAAATAAGCACCAACGATAATGTTAATTATATATGTCGTTGGCGCGAAACGATGGGTGAATGAAGGCTATACAGACAAAGAGAAAAGAGTCCCCTTTTATATATAGTATTACTTCTTTTCTTTGACTTTTTTCATCGCGTTTCGTTATTGCCGTGTTGTTTACTGACACTCAAGC